TAGCAATATTATTGATAAATCTATAAATTATGTACAGCTTTATAATTTAATGCATTTCTTACATGTAAGTTATAGCATATATATTTTTTTTCGTTTTTACACATTTTTATTATTATATTCAAGTTTCTTTCCTTGCAGTTCTGCTCTTTCTATATCTATATTTTACAATTGCAATTGAAACATATAAATATTGTGCAGTATTATAATGCTTATCTATAAAAATGCGAAAATGTTACAAAAGATGGTTATTTGCAAATATTTTATTTGTATATATATATATATATATATATATATATATATATATATATATATATAGCAATATTATTGATAAATCTATAAATTATGTACAGCTTTATATATAAGCATTATATATAAGCATTATATATAAGCATTATATATATATATATATATATATATATATATATATATATATATATATATATACTCTCATTGAGTTTTATATATATTTAAAGGCGCCAAAATTTGAACTGAGCAAAATAGGTATTTTTATTAGATATTCTTGTGTTTTTAACTCTACAACTTTAAACAAATTTCTTTAATTCCTCTTTACAGAGGAAGAGAAGAGATACATTGATAAGAATATATCATGAATAAATCGAACATTTTGTACGTTTATACTGTTTTAATTAAAAATTAGAGTTCAAAAAGAAGGAAAATATAGGTCTCTCATTCTTATGCAGTGACGTTCGTGGAACGATCAGCTGATCGGTTTGGTTATCTGCTTTTCAGAATACATTATTCACGCTCGGTCTATCTTTATCATAATAGGACGCGAGATAAGCATATTTGCTGATGTTACCTCTCTCAGCTCATCAGAATATACCGCGGTGCAGAGATTGCATGTATGTATAAAGTTCAATAAGATCGCATCGCGAATAAAATCATCATGGAAGATAGTAACGCGCAACCGAGATGTACCGGTACTTTTAAAAGTAACGAGCATTATGAAAAATGTATAAAGGAGCTGTCAAAAGAAGAATTATTGTCATCTGTAATAAAATGCACCAATTTTGCAGCGGAGAAACATCGGAATCAAAGAAGAAAGGATGTCAATCAAACACCATACATAAACCATCCTTTAGGTTCAGTTACAAGCATAGCTACAATTTGAATAATATATGATTTCCTAAGAATCACGTATTTATTTTGACTCACAAATAATAAAATTATATATTATATATATATATATATATATATATATAACAATTACACACACACATATATATATATATATTTGTCATAATTATATATATATATATATATAATTATGACAAATTTGTGTTTTAATGATTTCTGATTTGATTATTCAAAATAGAAGCAATTTAAAAATTGCATTTTATCTTGTTAAAATTATACATTTTAAAAACATAAATTGGTAATAAAATTTTGTTTTAAGTGTTAGTCGTAAGTGCCTCTAAAAATAATTATATTTTTTAAAAGCATATCTAATGTGTAAATTGACAATTATTAATTTAAATAATAATAGGAAAAATTATTTCAAATTGATTATAAAATCTGTATTTGAAAGAAGGTGATTTTTATGGAACATTATATATAATATTGTAATAATTATGTACATACAATTAATTTAATTGTTTTTTTTTAGGAGTTGCAAACATTTTAATTCAAGAAGGCAATGTTTTCGAACCGATAGTGATTCTAGCAGCAATATTACACGATACAGTAGAGGATACAGATACTACATTCGCAGAAATCGAGAAAGAATTTGGACATAAAGTTTGCCAGGTGGTCCGTGAAGTGACTGATGATAAAACATTACCAAAAGCTGAACGTAAACGATTACAGATAGAGCACGCTCCTAATATATCTCGTGAAGCAAAACTGGTAAAATTAGCTGATAAATTGTACAATCTGAGAGATCTTGAAAAGTGTGTACCTATCGGTTGGACAAGCAAAAGAGTAAAGGAATATTTTAAGGTAAAACATTTTCTTATTGATAAAATATAATTATAGAAAAGAATTGCATGAATATTGCATCTTAAAACTTGGTTTTACTTTAGTGGGCGAAAGCAGTCGTCGATGGATGTCGTCTAACAAATCTCGCTTTAGAAGGAGAATTAGATATTTTATTTGCACGTCATTGCGATTCGATCTGAAGAGAGCTGCCAGTACAAATTCTGAGAATGCAATTGATGAAATTGTAAGTGTGATGATATAAGGATAAATAAAACACCAAAATATATATATTGCATATGAAAACTTGTATATAAAAGTTACATACGATATAAACGTATATTTACACAAATAACATTTTTCGAGTAGATTTTTTCTAAAAAAAACTGTATATCTATATCATTTTCTTGAAGCTTTAATTAGTTATTTTCCAGATTGTTTGCAATGTTCATTATGAAACCACTTCATGTAATCAGCCAATGCTTCTGCCTCTTCTATTGTAACTGCATTGTATAAAGATGCGCGAATTCCACCCACCGATCTGAAAAGAGATCATAGCGATTTGAATATCAATTAAATATGAAAAAAATTATTCTATTATAAATTTTTTAACTTTTTAAGATCGATATTGGAATTTTTCATATTTGATATAATTTTAAAAGCTTACTATGTTATAATGAACATGTAAGCAGAATTATTTTGCCATAACTTTACAGTAATTAGATTTATCATTTTCGACAGATGTTTTTCACTGACCTGTGGCCTTTCAACTGCAACATACCGCGAGCTGCGGCACCAGAAAGAAACTCCTTTTCAAGATTCTCATCACCGTTGCCTATTCTGAATGGAATGTTCATTCTGCTACGCGCGTCTCGTTTGATAGGACACGTATAGAAACCTCCTGAATTATCAATTACATCGTATACCTTGCTGCTCTTCTTCTTTGCAAGATTCTGCATACCTTCGACGCCGCCATTCTGTTTAATCCAATCGAACACCAAACCCACTACATATATCCTAGAACATTCATCAACAAATTGATGTAACAATAGTGGTAGAGGCTTTTATTACAAGGATGACATGAAAACAGATTATGTAAGTATCATATATATCCAAAGATTTATTTTTCATCAAAGAAAGCTCTATGTATTGAAACTGCAGGCACTGTTGATGTTATTTCATAAAAGGCATTGTAAAAAAAAACTTTAAATATCTTTTCTTTATTGTAGTTTTATATGTTGAGGTTTTAATTATATCTACTATTTTTATGTATATTTTCTTTGTCCGAAAGTTACAAAATCATAATTTACAAAATCAATGATACTACTCACTGAAAGACAGGTGGGGTGTTGTGAAGGGAATTATCATTGGCCATGACGGTAAAATTCAGCACTGTCGGACACACATTCATGGCACGGCCGAGTAGATCATCCCGTACGATTACCAAAGTGACGCCGGCTGGTCCAATATTTTTTTGAGCACCAGCAAAAATAATCGCGAACTAAAAGAAAAATATATTATAAGTTTTAAGTAGATAAAAGTTGTTAAGTTGTAAACAGTTATAACTGCTTAATTGCAATTGAAAAGTGAGGAAATAATGAAAAATCACACACTGCGTGATCTAAATAAAATCCATCTGATCACAGCTCATTATCGTACCTTGGATACATCAAAAGGTCTCGACAATATATTGGACGACATGTCGGCGACAAGCGGCACGCCGTTAGTCTCCGGGATAAAACCGTATTCAATTCCTAAAAACATTTATTTCGACATATATTTAATATATAATGGTACGAAATAGTGTAAGAAGAAAATAGGAAATTATTTTGAAACATTTTGCTCACCGTGAACAGTTTCATTGTCGCAGTAATAAACATACGAAGCGTTTGGATCTAAATTCCAAGTAGAAGGATCCGGGATCTCTGTATATTTTGTTGTTTTCGGTAGCACCATATTTACTTTGCCATACTTGGTCGCTTCTTTCGCCGCTTTCGCCGACCATGAACCTGAAGAAAAACATTTTTTTTTATTTAAAAATTATATTTTTATATTTATTTTATATTTCTCACTCTTACCTGTTACTAGATAATCCGCTGTCCCGGTATTCAGTATATTTAGAGGAATTGCTGCAAATATTCCCGTGCCACCTCCTTGCATGAATAAAATGTGATAGTTTTCTGGAACGTTACTTTAGAAAAAAAAATCTTACAAAAATCAACAATATAAGAGAAATACTTAAAAAATCGAATATTATTTACATTGCAGTGACGATTAATTACATTTTTATGGTAGAACAATGAGCTCTAAAGAGCAAAAGAATCTTAAATTGAACTTTAATTGCTCGATTAAATATTTTATTTAGTTTGGAAAAAGTCGATGATACCTTTAAGAATATTAAGACTGAGAATTCCAAGATTTTATTATATAATTTTTTATTATTGGATCGTTTATTTTGAAAACGATATAAGAAAATGTTTCAGTTTATAAAATATCTTACAAAAATTCATATATGTATATATATAAGTGTCATAATTTATATCACTTTTAAAATAAGCTTCAAAATAAGTCATTTGTCGACTAATTTAAATACTATTTTGATTTTTGACTCACAGGATATCTCGTAAGATGGCTTGTGCATTGTTAATAACATTGTTAAAATCATTGGACCGATGACTTAGTTCGAGGATGCTGATTTGCGTGTTCCCATATGCAAGTAATTCTTTTTGTACGTCTTTTAGAACCTGTAATGGAGCAATTTTGATTAACCGAGTATGTACATACGCGAGTTAGTTCAATGAACGCGATTGACCCCACATTCTTCCTATATTTCTATATTCTCCTCGTGATCCAGTATCGATAATTAAAAATATATAAAATGTAATTGTGCAAAGAATATGAGATTTTAGGTATTTATCTCTTGGTGCAACTTTTTGTGCCTTATCACGCAAGCGAGTGGGAGACTCATTACTTAATTATCATTATAATAATAATAATGACGCGCAAAAGTGCGTATAGCTGTTTATTTGTCGATGTGACAAAATTGAGAGTCACGAGTTACTCTTGTGTAAGCCTCGAAAATTTATATCAGCTATTTTGTGCTACTCGTTGCATACATAATATATCTTCTATAAAAACTTTTTTTTTTAACATCATTGTAGATGCACGTGATGCAAACGCATTCAAATTATCATTGCAAGCATTGCAAAATAGTTGAATGTGTTGCAAAACAGTCGATGATATTAATCAAACATTTGCGTGCGTGATTTGTACTAGTAGAAAGAATAATTTTTAAACACAGATATAGGAAAGATACGAAACAGATAAGATATAGTATAGACATAGAGAGCAATTAAAATATAAAAGGAATTCAGAAAATTAGAGAAAGAATATGCAAAAATATAACTACGTTAAAATTTTACATCAATTTATACACAAATAAGTCTATTTCTGACTATAGAATGTTCCAAAATTATATATCTTTAATTTTTAAATTAGATGAATTAAATGAATAATTTTTGTTGATCTTACATCAGTTTTTTCATTCTTTTTTAATTTTTGAAAGAACAAATTGTTATTGAGCTCAGATAATTTTATGCGCAGATATTCGAGAACTTTTAGTGACACAAATGTGGAAGCTATCTGTAGATAGTTGTTATGTTGGTCATATCTCGGAAAAATAATAACGTGTCTTTATTACAACTGCTAATTACAGCTAAAATCTATCGACAATTTTATGTCGCTGCACAGAAGCAATAATCATTAAATTTATATATATATATATATATATATATATATATATATATATACGTATCTTACATGTACCATTTATATAATTATATATTAATTATGTACAATATAAAAATATTCATATAGTGATATATATTTATATTTAATATATGATATATATTTATATATTATATATATTTAATGTGTATAGTTATAGATTTATATTATAATATTATATAATATTTTTATATATTATATATATTTAAAAAAGTAGATAAGTCATTTTTTCTATTTACTTTTACTAATAGTTATAGATATATACTGAAAGTAATCTTTGCACATTTTACATTTAATAAATTATTAATTATATTCTCTCTCTACTGATTTGCATTCGTGCATTTAATGCATGTTAAGCTATTTTTTGAAGCATATAAAAAGTAGTAAAACTAGTTTTAGAATCGATCATTCGCCTTTTCGAGAAGTAAACCATTATTTGCTTAATTTCTAATGAATAAAAAAGAATTATGACATACCTCGTGCGGCAATTTAGCCGGTCCTGCCCCGAAATTGATCACTTTACTTTCATCAGTCATTATGCTTACAGATGATGTTGACGTGCTTGGCAGAGAGGTCGACGCAAACTGAGCTCTAATGAAAGACACAAACAAGTAAGTGGTCACTAGAGAGACAACGCTTAGCAGTCGTAATCGTCCTCGTTCAGTTGGGGGGATCTTATCGTCTCGACAACCGATTTCACTTCTATCTTAATTTTCGACGTGATAAGATATATCTTAGAGATGTTTTCACGAGGTAAGCGAATTCGTCAGACGCAAAGCGTCTGCTGTTGTAAACGGTCCATTTGTTTCAATTAAGAGAATGGCATACAGAGAGTGTCTGAAAATTGTTTCCGTTCAAGGTCCCATCAATCAACACACAAGTATACAGCGCTTTCCAGATTTTCATCTCTTATGGCTTTACATGAAGAGTATGTTGCTGTGAAATTTTCTTGTGATTATCTGTCAAGCTATTTCAAGAAAGAACAGGTAAACAAATCAAAATCATTATAAAAGAAAACTGAGAGAGAATTTTTCTTAAGTTTAATAATTATATATTAAATTATATTATTATTAAATTATATTAAATAAATTAAATTTTTACAAATAAGCAGAATTTCAAAATAATATGATTATGGCCATAAATTCATAAATAATATATTTGTTATATAATCGCACATATATGATAATACATATAGATAAAAAATATGTGGTATATAAAATTATGTAGATAAATAATTCAAGTTTCCATTTTAGATTGTGTGTGAATGTAAAATCATCGTTAATTCACGAACTTTAATTTTAAAATTTTATTTTAAAACTTTTCAAACATGCCCCTGATTTCATTTAAATAGATTTAAATATGAAACATGATTTTATTTAAATATATTAGATGTATTCGAATTTCTCATGATAAATAAAATAATATAGTAATTCAATGAGAATAAAATTATTAGCGAGGAATAAGTTGTAATAATCTCAATATTTGTACTTATCAATAGAATCTAGTTTTTAATTATTTTATTAATATTTTGGGGATTAAATAAATTTATTATATATAAAAAATAGATTTGGATATAAAATTTAGATATAAAACATTACTATATTTTCGATAGAACAATGCAAAAGGAATATGAATCTAACAAAATTTCTCTTTAAACATTTTATTAGAATAGCTTTTTTTTATAACTTGTGATTTTTTAATATTTTGGTAAGTGTTAATTGTTAATTAAAAATTCAATCAATACAGAATTTATTTTTTCTAATTAATCTTTATTTTCAATATTGAAAATGGGAAAAATTTTCTTAAAATTTGATTAATATTACTATTAATATTGTTTTTGAAATATCTTTAGACGTATGCTTTTTTTGCAGTACGATTTAAAAAAAATTATGGAATATAATACTGATATATATTTTAATTTTATAGGTAAGAGCATTTGTTTTGCACAAATCATGGTCGATAAATCTGCTTGAAGGAGTGTTTCTGTGATCAAACACTAGTGGACAGCATCGTACGGATCAAGCAATTTAAAGATGTTAAATAACAAATCAGTGTCATCAAGTCGTAAAATGTGTTCAGGTAAATTTTTTTGTCATAATCTAAATGTTAATAGATCTTGTAAGATGTTTAGATTAAATTATATATTAAAAAATTAAATAAATTGAATTTTTACAATAAGCAGAATTCGAAAATAATGTGATTATAATTATATAAATTCAATATATTTTTATAATCGAGCGTATATTTTTAATACATATAGATGAAAAATATAAATATAGTATATAAAATTGTATAGATAAATAATTTAAGTTTCCATTTTAGAATAAATGTAAAATCATCGTTAATTCACGACATTAATTTTACTTAAATACTTTTATACTTAAAGACTTTTTATTTAAATACAATTAATTATCTTTTTTTTGCAAAAATATAATTCAAACAAAATTCTTTTCTTCATATATTTATTTTCTAGGAAACTAGATACAGTGTTTTAGTTGTGCGAATAAATACTTAAAAAAATTTTTTAAAAGATTTTTGCTGGGATGTTTTTTTAGATTTACATTAATAATTGTAAATCTACCGCACAATTTCTGCCTATTGAGATATCTTACCTATATTGTTATATCATTCTTTAAATTTTTAAGCTATTACACGCGTGTGTATCCATAAATATACTTAGAGATGCTGGAAATATATGATGTGGCTGCTTTATCGCGTAGGTCACGAGTAGATAACAAGTGTTATAAAAATGTATCACGCCACTACTAGTTAGATTAAATTTTAATCAGAGTTAAAAGAAAGCTTATTAAGATTTTGCTTGGATCCCTGATTAACTGCAATCGTTTGTACCTGCAAATGTATCAGTCTACGTCTTTTTAGACTCGTGTCTTTTAGATATTTTGGACAATTTTTTATATCTACTCATCAATAAGAGAAATCCTAATTAAATAATTAGAGAAACATCTTGTTACATTGTATTTTCAATTTACAATTGCTTATTTGCAATTTGCAAATCGGTTACATCATCAATAAGAAATGTAGAGTTATATTATGCTTTAAGTGGTATCAGCAACTCTCTTATCCACTATTATTCACGAGTATCTTATGTAACAGAAATCGCCATTCAGATCAATATGGTTCATTGAAGTCCGTCATTGACCTTCGCAATTATGCATATTCAAGTACATATTCAATTTCGCGATACGATCTCGATAGAATTATTCGAGTCTCTTTTCAAAGAAAGAATTGAAATGAAAGTGTTTAATTAGAGTCTTATTGTCTTTTACATATATATATATAAAACATACATAAATAAAATCTTAATAATCTGCGGGTCCCTTTTTAATGTTAACAAATTTAATCTCATTGTCAGTTGATTTGAAACGTGATCCTTATTTGGGATTTAAAAATATAAAATGGACATCTGTGATTTATTTTTATTGCTATTTCTTAAACATATAAAAGTATCTGTGAATATTTTATGGCTTGCTTCTAAAATATTTTAATTTGATGCCAGGTCTGGATGCTGATGTTTCATTTTTGAAGATACGGCTTCTCCATTCATTCCGACTGCTTGGGTTCGACCGGAACCGGTTTTTATTGATCCGCCGGCAGGAATGTTCTCTTTCAAGCCGCCAGCAGGTAGGGATGATGGCATCGCATGATGAAAGTCAGCCGACAGTCGGTGATGAACTTGGCGCCCAGCACGCATGATCCGAGGGAGTGGTGACCTTCCGCGTCCTCAGAACGCCAGTCTGTCGCAAATCGCCGGGAAGTCTGCCTCGTCGTTGTCAGCCGTTCTGCTCAATCGCTGTTGATTTCCTGTACTTGGAACCGCTGTTGACTCTCTCGCTTTTAAGCAAACGAGACAAAGGTAATCGTTCATCCGGCCTTACGATTCCTTCTCATCAGTATTGATTTTCCTCTACGCGACTCCCTCTACGAATTCTCGACGAACGAAGTCGTGGGAGAGTTCAAGGTCTCCAATTTTAGAATTTCGCGATGTTGCTCCTTCGCGTTATGTTTGGGTGGAATAATATCATTGTATTTCTCTGTTAGCATCTTGATCTTTATATACGTCGTATAGACAAAGCACAAATTAGTAAATGAACGAGAAAATATCAAATAATTTAGAAAATTTTATTTAAGATTTTTATTATAATTTTTTTATAAAAAAATACTGATGCATTTTAAAGATTAAAAAAGAGATATTTCTCTATATATTCCTGCAATTTTCTCGTCGCGCGTACAACTTTAAGGACTTTATTGATTTATCAAAGCCTTTATTTTCGTCTTACATTATCATATGTTACACAAATACTGTATAAAGATTTAGGCCATTATATAATATTAATTTATATCATGCGTATATGTAACTTTTAGGGAAGATAAGAGTATAATTGGATTGCGCGTTAATGACGATTAGAAATTCTCTTTGGCTTTGATAATCGGCAATAAATGATAGACAAACTGAAGTAGCTGAGTCGAAAATTGATTGAATTGATCTTTTAATTTCGTTCACATTTGAGAAATAATCTTCTTAATTAATTTACTTTATGTATATATAAAGTAAATCCAGTGTAAATCGTTTGTGATGCACAAGTGGCTAAAATTTCTCTTCTAAAAAAAGAAATAAATTTTTTTGAGACTGCATAGTTTTTTCGAAAAAGATCATTATGCCTTGATATTGAATTAAAGGCATATCTAATTCAATTTTAAGGTATAATAATTTTTTCAAGCTGTTAAGTTGAAAATTTTTATTTTTTAGAAGAAAAATCTTACAATTAGCCGGTTTAGGATTCTATAAAATTTAGAACTTCGTATAGTGAACACTTGCACATCAGAAAATCGGTGCACGATGCTCTCATTCCCATTTTGATTCGCACAAGATTATCTTATCGTGCAACATAATCTACATAATAGAAGGTATAAAGAGCAAACGAGAATGTATCACCGGCTCGAGAGAGAGAGAGAACAAGAGCGATTTTTATTCTTGCACTCTCGAAATGTCTTCTCTAATTTTTCGTCCAATTTATTCAGCGTTTTTTACGCCGGCAGTAAATTACTTCAATCGAAATGCAGTCAGTTTATTATCGGTTTTAATAATCGATTCGTTGTTAACGAATAGTAACGACACGAGAGAATATCGAGGCCAATAGGCAGATGTAAATAGACATTATAAACGCAAGAGAAATGAATTTACGCGATTTCGAAATAAATTTCTGTCGGGCCTCAAGGATTTTTTTTTAGAAATAAATTCTTCATTACTTGAGAATTATTTTACATAAAAATATAAATTCTTTTGTACGTATTATGTCATACGTTGCGACGATCGATAATGTAGTGCATAGAGATATATGTATATATTTTATCATAGTGAATGAAATCATGCGTAGAAGGTCAAGCTCGAAACTGCGCTGCTATCAGCTGATTACTTACGTGGGCACGTGTTCACGCATGCTCTGAACGAAATCAAGGTGAACGAAGTGTCACATGAGCGAGAAAAAACGCGTTCAATGACTATCAACCATTAAATATTGTTTAACTATCCAAAATAATTTTGAATAAGTAGCAATACATTAATTAAAGGCTCTTTCAATATTATATTTTTACGGAGGACACAAAGAAATATTAATTAATTTGATATCTTTTAATAATTTGAAGGCTTATGATATTAATTAATTAATTAAACACATGTCGCTGCGAAATTCGGGAATCATTGAACAGATTATTGTTATAAGTAAACATTTCAGATTTTTTTTCCAATTTTTTATTGTAAAAATTTAAACAGTATGCTTGTAGAGAACATAATTATGGACTTATTATAATATTTTGCAATAATTTTTGCGCGTGTTTAGAAACTTATTTCTCATTTAAAAAAACATTTAAGTAATTTTCTAAAAAGTTACTTAAATATTTTTTAAATGACAGATAAGAAAATGTGGATCTAAATACTTTATATGTCATACATCTGAAATACTTCTTAGAAAAGCTCAGAAATCTCTTGATTCAAAGTCAGCTATCAACTATGTGTAATACAATATATGTGATAAACGTTTGTCAAACAAACAGATGCGTTAGGTATTTTAATTTAAAGTATAAGTTCTTCGAATATATTTTGCGAATGACGGCGATTGCTAGTGCAAACGAGTACTTCTGGCGATTTTCACAATCACATGACTTTGACAATCTTTAACAAAACCTATTTTTCCCTTTGGTGTGCGATTAAAATATCTCAGATAAATTTATTAAATTTAAATTAAAATAAATAACACACAAGTTTAGAACAATCTGAAACGAAGTGTCAAAATTTTGTTAGAAAATCTCTTCAATTTTAAATTGATGTATTATTATGGTCCACTTTCTCATAATTTTTTAAAAAATTCCATTTAAATTTCTCTGAATTCCACATATCAAGTATTTCATTTAATTAATAACTTCTACGGTTACATACTTTTCTTTATGAGAGTATATTGAATGTGCCGTCAACCAATTGATTATTTTTCCATTTTTTAGCTTAGGTCTAAATATGACCTCGTGAAATATTTATTGAGACATATGCTTGACATACTATATAATTACGCACCGTCCAAAAGAGATCCATGCGATCTGAATCTAAATCCGAAACAATTTCACACCACTTTCCCAATCGATCTTTTCCTCTTTCTCTTCTTCGCGGTCCCCACGAGGGATACTTCGAAGAGGATCGCGATCCTATTTTCGGATCTCGAGCAGAGGCTCCCGCGAGCGAATTCTCGTATGCACTGGCATCGTCTACGATCTCCCGATGCTTCGCATCCTCCTCAGTCGTTTCCCACTCCGGTTGTCGTCGTCGACGCCATACACCTCATCGTCGCTCCTCGTCGTCGACGACGCCGGACGTTCGCCGCATTCGCGCGCGACCCTCACAGGCGGATGGAATTTTCGCGACACCGTCGTCGTCCCAAACGCCTCGTTGTCGTCGTTACTAATCTCCTTCTACCGTTTTCTCTTTGCGCAGCCCGCCAAAATGGTCTGGATCACCGTCGACGATCAGGTATACCGCCTAGTTCGATCGCGACTTAGACCTTTCGCTCAAGAGTGCGATTTGCAGTGATCCTTAATTGAGAAACCAATGTAATTTCGGTGAACATCACTTCTCGGTCATTATTTTTTCTAATCGTTGACACCAAAAAATATTTATTATATTTTATTATATATTTTGTATTATATTAATTATTATATGTTATAATGTTGATGCAGTTCTAATATTCCAAGTAGCGAATTGACATCATTCTTGCTACTTGGAATATGTGATATATATATCTGCATATTGAAATTGATGGCGACAATTATACATACATTTTCCGTATGTTTTATGTGAGCACGATGCATTTAATTTTAATTGTTTAATTCACCGAAATTACAATGGTTTCTTCGATATGTGTTTTTTCTTTGTTTTTGTCGTTGCTTGAATTTTTGATTTCCGTTTGCGCATACGCACACGCTATATATATATTGTAAAAAATTAAAAATTCTTTTCGCTTAAAAAACGGATGATATATTTAAAAAAAGTGCGTACGAGGTCCTATTACATTGAGTCTATTCATCATTGTTGTGATTTAGATCTTTGACGGAGAAGACGTGTGTAAATTCGCGAATTAAGCATAATGATTTTATGCGCGTAAATAAATCAGCGACATTAATCTGTGATTTAATTTTTTTTCTTGTATACGATATGAATATGTAGCATTCGAAGCATGGAAGTGTTATTATGAGTTTTTTTAACTTTTCTACGTTGTTTTGTGTGCGATAACCTCGAGTTTTGTATTGGAAACACAAATCAAAGTCATTTTCCTTTCTGCTATAATATTATCAATTTCTTATTTCTTATCCTTATAAGATCATTTAACTGTGGAAAAGTACCTAAAAGATCTGCGTCTTTATATAGAGAAAGTAAGATTAGTCGCGATTGGTATGAAAGACATGTCGCTTTATTCCTGACAAAGATTTATATCTCTCGAGGGATTTATAAATTTTTTTTCGGATTTCTAGGATTTCTTGCTTATAAATGCCTAGTAATAGTTTTTATTTCGATGTGAAATTAATATGATTTGTTTTTACTTGTGGTGTGAAAAATAGATAGCAGAGTGTGCTTTTATTGATAGAAACACTGATAGTATTTTATCATTCTATTGCCTCTTTAATATAATTACACGCTCTTATTTTATATATTATTTTTTACTTTCGCATAAATGCTTTTTTTGAACGATTATATTATTTCCGCAATTATTTTTTGCATTTTTTCCTTATTATTTTATGTTAAATAAATTACAGTGATACAAATATTGTGATCTCGTGGTGTTAAATGATTGACATATTTACTATTATTTTTTCATGATACATAATAAGGTTTGCTAGGTATGACGTTATATGATGACGTTATATGAGTCGGAGCTTTGTCTTGCAATCGTAATTAATATCGTCTACAATGCAAGACTTCGCACATTCGAGCGTACATTTGCGTGATGTTTTAGAATAGATTCGCGCGGAAAACGCGACGTAGAATCGCTTTACCTTGTTGCGAGAATAAGCGTCTGTTCTGTGCAGATACGATAAAGAAATAAATATAGGAGTGTCTGGATGAGTAATTTATATGTATTGCGATATAAAAAATTTTTTTTTAAATTTTTTTAAGCTCGTTTGTCAGTTCTTCAAGGTGAATTTAAGCTTTACAAACGTAGACGCGTCGTCTTTATATGAGACATTTATGATGTAACACTATGCAATTCTTCGTGACATCAGTCAACACATTGAATTCATCTGCCTTTTATCTTACTTTCTAAATTATAGAGTTTAATCTTGATACGACAGTTATCACATATTGATGATAACGAGTAATAATTTTTGCAAAGTTCTTCGAAATGATTAGAATCAAGAAGGGATGTATGCAATCGTAAAATAATAAATAATGAAAGAAGTTAATAAAGGCGCGAATGTTTATTAGCTTTTCTGCTCCTTGCAAACCTTTTAATTGAGAACTTATATGGAGTTATAATTAAATTCGTAAATTATGAGATGCGTGAAAAAATACAAGAATATTAAAATGTTTTACGTTTAAAGCAAAATAATAATATGTCTACATAAATTGCGGATGTTGTAACTCTTTTGTGCGAAATATAATTCTTCTTGTTCCATGAAATGCTTCTATTTTTGTCGATGCGGTTCTACTATTCGCGCAGTAGCCAGACACAGCGATACTTTGTAATGAGAAATATTTTTACTGATTGTTTCTTGTAATAAATATTATGGATAATAATCTGATTCGTGAAATAATCAAAAGAATAAATGTTAACGCGATGATCACAAGACAATTTTTAAAGAATTAATGCTTGTTTAGGCATGAGAAATTTATTAAAAAATAATTATATTTAATTAATATATGTATTATATATATATATATAATAAGAAGCAATATAACAATAATATATTTAACATTATTAATTTTAATTTATAATTACTTAAAAATGGATGTCGTTTTCTTTTTATTTTAAATATAAATGCAAATTTAATTTGATACGCTCTAATTTACAACACTTGTGCACCTATTTACAAGCTAATAGACTTATTGTATGTAGATTCCAAGCCTTGTGACCAAAGTCTAATTAATTCTGATTACTTGTCAGATCTAGTTAAAAAGAACCTTTTCTAATTTTTTATGAATTTTCGCAGATGGCCGGCAAGCCGAATACTCAGGCATTGTATGCTCAAAGTCAGCTGGACCACATGTGCGCCCTGGACATCGACAGTCGAGTGTCCTTCGTCCGTTTATCCGGTATCATCTGTACGATTGGTCCCGCGTCTCGATCCGTCGAGACCCTGGAGAAGATGATCGAGACGGGGATGAATATCGCCCGATTGAACTTCTCTCACGGATCCCACGAATATCACGCGGAGACCATCGCCAACGTTCGCCAGGCGCAAAAGAATCTGACCATTTGCGCCGGCATGAACATCCCCGTCGCCATCGCCCTCGACACGAAGGGCCCCGAGATCCGTACGGGTCTCCTCGAGGGTGTACGTGATTGATTAGACTTATATAAATATTCTTATCAACTCCTCAGTCATTTGTTATAGAGGATAGTGACCTTTCTATAAGTGTCTGCGCTCTTTTTATAATTTTATAAAGCAGATATATATGTATATATTTAAATATTAAATATTTAATTAAGACAGATTTAATTAAGTAATATGCAAAAATAGTATTTTAAGAATTTTTACTGTCATTATAGGGCGGCTCGGCCGAAGTAGAATTAGTCAAGGGTCAGACTTTTAAACTGTCCACCGACAAGGCGTATCTGGAGAAGGGAACCGAACAGGTTGTTTACGTTGATTATGACAACATCTCGAAGGTGTTGAAGGTAGGAAATCGCGTGTTCGTGGATGATGGCTTGATCTCTCTCATCGTCACCGCCGTTAGTAAGTTTTAGAAAATCATTGCAATCTTGTCTTTTCTTTAAATATTTGTAAAATTGGAACCATTCAAGAATTGTAGTTCTATAGAGCGACAAATAATATTTCACGTCTTGAATATTATTACGTATTTAAATATACGAGTTATTTATTTTGGTAAGAAATAATATGTGGAGAATTTCGAATATTTCGAATTTTATGATATAAAAATTCATACAGGGTATAAATTTCAACAAAATTTGGAAATTATGATTAGTTTTGAATGTAAGGATCGAGTATTTATTAATTTATATATTCTTAATACATCGATTCTTTTAATTTTAAGTTATAGTTTTGATGTGCAATTTCTACAATTGCTAATAAATATTAATGCAAAAATAAGGAAGAATATTTGTAAGATTAGTAATCTATTTTGTTTCTTGGGTTTCAAAATTTTAAAATTGTCACTTGGAGAACGCAAAATATTTGAGTGCATTGATTCTTTTGGTTCCAATAAACTACAATTTTAATCTGTCATTTTTTATATGTAATAAATATTAAATGCAATCTTGCTTCTTAGGTCCTAATCTAATCTCAACCACCGTTGAAAATGGCGGCATGTTGGGTTCTCGCAAAGGTGTAAATTTGCCGGGAGTACCGGTGGATCTTCCAGCGGTGTCGGAGAAGGACAAATCCGATCTTCAGTTCGGTGTTGATCAGGACGTCGACATGATATTCGCCTCCTTCATTCGAAACGCAGCCGCGTTAACCGAGATTCGCGGCATTCTCGGCGAGAAGGGCAAAAACATCAAGATCATATCGAAGATTGAGAATCAACAGGGTATGACGAATCTCGACGAGATTATCGACGCGTCCGATGGTATAATGGTGGCACGCGGAGATCTTGGAATAGAAATACCTCCGCAGAAGGTGTTTCTAGCGCAGAAGTCCATGATCAGCAGATGCAACAAGGTCGGGAAGCCGGTGATTTGCGCCACGCAGATGTTGGAATCCATGGTGAAAAAACCACGCGCCACCAGAGCCGAAACGTCAGATGTAGCCAATGCTATCCTCGACGGTGCTGACTGCGTTATGCTGTCGGGTAAAATTCATTTTGATATATTAATACAATAATTATAATACAAAGAGAAGAAAGAAATATTTTCAATATAATTTATATCTTTCTTTCGCGTTTCATTAGATTACACAGTCTTTATTTCTGTAATGTCCGTCTTTGAAGATATATGTTTATAAACCTTGTGCATTTTTAGGTGAAACCGCAAAGGGAGACTACCCCTTAGAATGCGTTCGTACAATGGCCAACATTTGTAAAGAAGCGGAAGCCGCGATTTGGCAAACTCAAATCTTTCACGATCTGTCGAGCAAAGCTCTGCCGCCTATTGACGCCACCCACGCGGTTGCCATCGCCGCTGTGGAAGCGTCCGTCAAATGTTTGGCTAGTGCTATCATCGTTATCACGACGTCCGGTCGGTCTGCACATCTGATCTCGAAGTACAGACCGCGCTGTCCCATCATTGCGGTTACTAGGTTCCATCAGGTTGCTCGACAAGCGCATTTGTATCGCGGAATACTGCCGTTGTTCTATGAAGGTACATGTAGTATCGATAATAATTTATTTTCGAGCAAGAAAAAGAAAATTTATCTTATTGTTATTATATCAAATGCAATAGACAATTTGCATAAATATGACACAAATTTTTGGCATGCAGGAGGAGCGCCATTGGCCGACTGGGTGAAAGACGTGGATGTACGTGTACAATTTGGATTGAACTTTGGCAAAAGTCGTGGTTTCGTGAAGATTGGCGACTCGGTGATAGTCGTGACGGGGTGGCGACAAGGCTCGGGCTTCACGAACACTCTTCGCATCGTGTACGTAGAACGAGAATTAATTAGAGAAGATCCTGCATGTGAAATTTATAGTGACTCCGATTCCTACGAAAATCTTTTTTGAATATTGCATTAGACATTTTTATTTCAATCTACCTTTTATTATTAGATTTCATTTATTTTAAATAGTAATTGCTCGGAATGTATGGTATGCTGTTAAACACAAACATCGAGATCATATTTATAATAATTAAGGAGAAATGTCAAGCGCATAATTAAAATAATTATGCGAGATTCTATTTATGCTGTAACACAAATATATTTTATATATATTGATATATATATATATATATAGAGCATACATTTGATTTTTAAATATATTTTAAATATACTTGTAAGAAAACTTTATAATTCCTATTAATATTTATATTATTATTATCTATGTTTCAGTATATTGCCTTCTTAATTTAATTTGCAAAATCGAGATTCAAGTATAGTTATTCTCGCTTAATATTCCCTTTTAATATTGCATTCATATTTTTGGCGATATAATGATACAATTATTGATTTTAATCTTTTTTTTTAATTTTTAGGAATGCCGACTAAACTCATACTATTGGATCGACACAAGAGGAGGCATGATCTTTAAAGAGCTGTAGATGTAATGCTAAAGATAACTGCGAACATATACATACGTAATTGTATTCATCCTGTCACGAGTTCCAGTAAATACAGTTATGTGAGACTAATCTCATTAGTATAAACCCAGTATTAATTTATCATTGAGATATACACAAAGACAGATAGAGAAACAGATTATGCATACATAAGATGTATACAGATGCTGTTATGTAAGAGACATAATAATCTCCATCGTATAATATAAAAAATAGGCAAATAATTCTTGAATTATCAAATTAAAAAAATTTGTCGAGTGTTAAATCTTCGTGTTCCTGTATAGAAATAAATAAAGACGTTTATTTTGCAGTAATGAATGTTAATTATATATATAAATTATATAGTTAATATATATAAATATACGTCACGTCTATCCAGGATAAGTGTGAATAAAATCTCAAGTTTAACAAATAAAAAAAAATTAGTGAATATTGTTAAAAATTAATTGCACAAAAACAAATTAATGCAAACAGATCAATGCAACTAATCTGCAATTTATATACATGCAAAATAATAATTTTTATTAGCGCAATTAAATTTCTATATCTACGAGTTCCTTTTGTACAATCTGTGTAGGACACCGTTTCTGAGATATCACTGTTTAATTCGTTTTTCGTGATTATCTCAAAAACAGTTTGACTTAGAACAAAAGTGCAAAGGACAATCTTCATAATCGACATAAATCGAAATTATAAATTATTATTTTTCAATAATTATTACTTCTTTAATATTGACGAGGGTCAAATATATATTATCCGATGCTTTTTCACGTGCAATTTTTTCTAATGTCTGAATATAATTCGAATTTTAAAGACATTTCATATTTTTGCTATATAAAATTTAAAAAAGCTAAAACTTTTTTAGATTTGCAATTTTCTGTATCTTTTTCGAATTTTGTCGTTTATTGTAATATATATTTTTATATATATTAATTTTAATAATGCTTATATAGATAATACATTATCTGCTCTAATAATAAACCAAAAAATTTATAATTCAGTATCTATATTTCTTAATAATAAATAAAAGCAAAACTATAAATAACTGCATGTAAAGAGTATGATATCAGATATTATCTCATTGTTAGATCCACTTGCGTTTATCACGCAAGAGAGTGGGACACTCGTTTCTTGATTATGAAATCATGACGCGCAAAATGCACGTCTGTTTGTCGATGTGATAAAATTGAAAATCACAAGTTGCTCTTGTGCAAGTCTCGGTGATGAAGTTGCGAGCACGCATGATCAGAATTGAAATGGAGTAGTGACCTTCCACGTCCTCAAGACGACAGTTTATCATAGATCACCGGAGAGTCTGCTTCGTTGTCAGCCGACTATCATAAAAAGCCGCTGTTAATTTTCTTGCTTTTAGTAACAAAAGCAAACCAGAAACAAAGGTAATTATTATTATTCTTATCCTTACAATTCCTTTTCAGCGGTAACAATTTTCTTTATTCCTGAACAGCTGGACAAGTCACAAGAATTTAATTCAAATTTTCGGGGATGATAAATTAATAAACGATATTTTGCTTTTAATTATATGAAATATTGTCGATACGTTTTTTTAACAATCTTGATCTTCAGATTATCATATATATATATATTTTTTTTTTCCTTATTAGGTAGAGCACAAGTTAATAAATGAAAAAATAATATTAAATAATTTAGAAAACTTTATTTATAATATGCAATTTATTTAGAACACTTTATTTATAATACACTGATGTACTTTGAAGATTAAAATAATGTTCTGTATATTCCTATAATTTTTCTTGTAACTTATATATGTATATATGATTTTAAGGATATCGATTTTTCGATAGGTTTCATTTTCCTCTATATTGTCAGATTATGTTATTAAAAATATTTTATAAATATATAGTAGATATATTATAGCTTATAGCTATTATATAATATTAATCTATACTGTGTATAACTTTTTGAAAAAATAATTGGATTATACATAATTGAAAATTCTCTTTGAATTTATTGTTTTTGGTGCAACAAATTAACAGATGAAAGTAAGATAGATTTAAACTGAAATAATTAAGACAAAAGTTTTAACATATATCAGTTGATTACTTGCATATATAAGCACGTGTTTCACAAGGCGCATGCCCTAAATAAGGAATCAAGGCGAATAGAATGCTGCAAAGTGAGAAAGCGTATCATCGATTAACAATCGTATAAATATTGTAAAATGTATGTACCAGTTATTCAAAATATTTTAATTTAAATAACTAGCAATACATTGATTAAAGATTTTCCAGTGTTATTTTTTCATAGAGGACAGATAAAAATTAATTAAATTAATCTAATAGCTTTCTTTTAACATTACTGATTCTTTTAATATTACTTATGATGATGAATGAACGGTAACATTAGACAGACATATTGCAGTAGACACTTCTTGAAATATATTTTGCATAATTACGGCGATAACAATTGCCAGTGCAAATGAACTTTGTAGCTTTAAAACACTTCGACAATCTTTGACGATTTTTTTGTCAGTACATAAATCCTCTTCGGTTTGATCACAAGTATTATCTCTTGTAAATTAAATCTGTTTTACAACAGTATAAAGCAAGTTTAAGATCTAAGAGAAGTTATTAGAATTTTCAAAATCTCTTTAATTTTTAAATAAAACAGTGACATTTTTTGTATTTTTTAAATTTGTATTTTATTGTTTTAAGTATATATTTCATAAATTTTGTGCGATAACATAATATCTTTTGAAAAATAGTTTCATGTCAATTCTCTGATCTCTTCTTGATTCATGAAAGCTTTTTCTGAAAAGACGCAATTTCTCTTTTCATTTAGCAAATAATCTTACTTTGGAAACCGAAACATGCCAAAAGATGCGCTTTAATTTCTTTGACATTTCCGGTTGTCGTCGACGATACCGAGATTCATGCAAAAACCGTCATCATAGAATGGAGTTTTCATTGTTAATACTATTAAACACTAATCTTGTTTCTTCATTTTTCTCTTTGCGCAGCCTGTCGAAATGATTTGGATTTATCATCGATCACCTTCGACGATCAGGTATATCGTCTCGTTGTGTAATTATGATTGATGTTTCCTCTTTAACTTCGTTAGAGTGATTTGTAGTGGTCCTTAAATGAAAACACAATAGAAATTCGGTGAATTAAAATTATGTACATAATAAAAATTCAGTGAATTAAAATTATGTACATAATAGAAATTCGGCGAATTAAAATTATAATATAATATTAGTACTAATATAATACATAATATTACTTCTTAGTACTAATATAATACATAATATTACTTCTATTCTGTTGTCTTTGGCAATAGCATGAGATTGAATGACAGTAAATGCATTCTGGATGAAATTAAATACCATCTTTCAAATGTGTACGAGCGATTTAATGTAGAACGAAAAATAATTAATATATTAATATATTTATATATAATTTATATATTAATTATATATTAATTTTATTTATATATTTATACAATTATATATTAATTTTATATAATTTTATATTTATATAATTATATATTAATTTATTTATATAATTATATATTAATTTTATTTTGACAACAATCAAACTGTTCATGACAACTGCTCGACGCGATGAATATAACGCGAGACAGCCAATCAACAATAAAAATTGTTAATACATGTTGCTTCTTCTCTTTACTTTAACGTGGATGCAAAAATTTCTACGCTCTAATTCACATAGTTGCACGCTTATTCAAGATCTAAGATTCATGTGGATAATACACACTCATTCTCTCTCTCTCTCTTAGTATAGATATCTATATTCAAAGCCTTGTAAACAAAGTCTATAATTACTTCTAGTTAATTGTTAAATCTATCTTTCTCAAAAGAACTTGTTCTGATTTTTTTTTAATTTTCGCAGATGGCAGACAAGCCGAATGCCCTGGTATTGTATGCCCAAAGCCACCTGGACCACATGTGCGCCCTGGACATTGACAGTCGAGTGTTCTTCGTCCGTTTATCCGGTATCATTTGTACAATTGGACCCGCATCCAGATCCGTGGAAATGCTAGAGAAGATGATAGAGGCGGGGTTGAATATCGCCCGATTAAATTTCTCTCACGGATCCCACGAATATCACGCGAAAACCATCGCCAACATTCGCCAGGCGCAAAAGAATCTGACCGCCCGTGCCGGAATCTACATCCCCGTCGCCATCGCCATCGATACGACGGGTTCCGAAATCCGTACTGGTCTCCTAGAAGGTGTACGTGACTGATTAGACTATTATAAACTTTAATATTATTAAGACTTATTATTAGACTTATATAAATATAAATATGCTGTGCTCAGCTTCTCAGTCACTTGTCAGAAGGTGGTGACCCCTTTATAAGTGTCTGCGCTTTTTTTTATAATTTTATAAAGCAGATGTATATTTAAAAATATTTAAGTATTTAATTAAGACAGTTTTAATTAGGTAATTTGTACAAAATAATATTTTAAGAAATTTTACTGTCATTATAGGGCGACTCGGCCGAAGTGGAATTAGTTAAGGGTCAGACTTTTAAACTGTCCACCGACGAGGCATACATGAAGAAGGGAAATGCACAAGTTGTTTATATTAGTTATAAAAATATTTCTAAGGTATTGAAAGTAGGAACACGAATGTTCGTGGACGATGGCTTGATCTCTCTCATCGTTTCTGAAGTTCGTAAGTTTCAGAAATTATTGCGACATGCTAGCTTTTTTAAAATGGGTATTTTTGAAAATTAAAATATCTAAAAATATATCGAAAACTCTTTGGAACGATATTTTATGGCTTGAATGTGGATGGATGAGTATTTTATATTTAATTCATCAAATCTTTATTATGTCGCGACATAATTTTAATTCATCGAATTTTTATTATGTCGAGACATAATTTTAATTTATCGAATTTTTATTATGTCAAGACATAATTTTAATACATTGAATTTTTATTATGTCGAGACATAAATTTAATTAATCGAATTTTTATTATGTCAAGACAATTTTATTTTACCGAATTTTTATTATGTCGAAGACATAATTTTAATACATCGAATTTTTATTATGTCTCGACATAATTTTAATTCATCAAATTTTTATTATGTCTCGACATAATACAAATTCGATGAATTAAAATTATGTCTCGACATAATACAAATTCAATGAATTAAAATTATGTCGAGATATAATAAAAATTCGATGAATTAAAATTATGTCGCGACATAATTTAAATTCTTGAAATATTATTATGTCGCGACATAATAAAAATTCGATGAATTAAAATTATGTCGCGACATAATAAAAATTCGATAAATTAAAATTATGTCTGGGTATAAAAATAATTCCTAATATTTATTATGTCTTGACATAATTTTAATTCTTCGAATTTTTATTTTGTCGCGACATAATAATATTTCAAGAATTAAAATTTTGTCGCGACATAATTTTAATTCATCGAATTTTTATTATTCTTTTAATTTCAAACTACAATTTTAATATGCTATTTTTATATGTAACATGTAACAAATATTAAATATAATCTTGCTCCTTAGGTCCCAATCTAATCACGACTACCGTCGAATACGGCGGCATGTTGGGTTCTCGCAAGGGTGTAAATTTGCCGGGAGTCCCGGTGGATCTTCCAGCGGTGTCGGAGAAGGACAAAGTAGATCTGCAGTTCGGTGTCGACCAGAAAGTCGACATGATATTCGTCTCCTTCACCCGAAACGCCGCCGCGGTAGCCGAGATACGCGGTATCCTCGGCGAGAAAGGCAAAAACATCAAGATCATATCGAAGATCGAGAACCAACAGGGTAGGACTAATCTGGATGAGATCATCGAGGCTTCCGATGGTATAATGGTGGAGCGAGGTGATTTAGGAGTAGAGATACCCTCGGAAAAAGTGTTCCTAGCACAAAAGTCCATGATCAGTAGATGCAACAAGGTCGGGAAGCCGGTGATTTGCGCCACGCAATTGTTGGAATCCATGGTGACCAAACCACGTCCAACGAGAGCCGAAACGTCAGATGTAGCTAATGCTATCCTCGACGGTGCTGATTGCGTGATGCTATCAGGTAATTCATTTTGTTATATTAATAAAATAATTTGTAATACAAAGAGAAATATTTTCAATGTAATTTATATATTTTTCTCGCGTTTCATTGGATTGCACAGTCTTTATTTCCGTAATGTCCGCCTTCAAAGATATATACGCTCATAAATCTGGTGCATTTTCAGGTGAAACCGCGAAGGGAGACTATCCCTTAGAATGCGTTCGTACAATGGCTAACATTTGTAAAGAAGCGGAAGCCGCGATTTGGCAAACTCAGATCTTTCACGATCTGTCAAGCAAAGTTGTGCCGCCTATTGACGCCGCCCACGCGGTTGCCATCGCCTCTGTGGACGCATCAGTTAAATGTTTGGCTAGTGCTATCATTGTTGTCACGACTTCCGGTCGATCTGCACATCTGATCTCAAAGTATAGACCCCGCTGCCCCATTATTGCGGTTACCAGATTCCGCCAGGTCGCTCGACAAGCGCATTTGTATCGCGGAATACTGCCAGCGTACTGCGAAGGTATATAATATTGGTGAAATCATTATTAAGCGTTCGTTTAGCATAATGTTATATGGAAGAAAATTCAAAGAGATCTTAGATATATATTTCTTAGTATTTTTATATTATATTTAATATTAAAAAGATATTTTTTTTTATGGCAAACAGAAAAATTAATTATTATATTACAATAAATATTTTTATATGAAGATATATAAATTTTTGTTATATAGAAGGGCCATTGAGCGACTGGGTGAAGGATGTGGATATGCGTGTACAATTCGGATTAAACTATGGCAAAAAAATTCGTGGTGTCATAAAAACAGGCGATTTAGTAATAGTCGTGACGGGATGGCAGCAAGGTTCGGGATTCACGAATACTCTTCGCATCGTGTACGTAGAATCGATTTAAAAAAATTTGCATGTGCGATTTTTATTAGCGACACCGATTCCTGTGAAGATTTATTCTAATTGTTGCATAAGAAATTTTTTCTTATCCTATTCTTTTGTTTTATCATCCTTGATTTATTACAAATAATAGTTTTATAGAATATATATTTGTCAAACACTAATATTGCAGATCATGTTATTTCACTATAAAAGAATTTATTGAATAAATATTTACTTCAATACTGCCTAATAAATCATTTATTTGAAACCGATGTGAAAAATATTTATTTGAGAATTATAAGAAAATCTTTTTCAAAACAGATAAATATTTATTTGTTTCGAATAAATGATTTATTAGATAGTATTAAAATATTTATTAATTTAATAATTTTTTTTTAGTACAATAATAATCAAGAACAACAAATGCTTAAAGCATATTAATGCATACAAGATTTCTGTTTATGATGTAACACAAATGTATTTTATATGTAGTAAAAAATAAATATATATATATATACTACATATAATATATATTTGATTTATAAATATATCTATTTATAAAAATCGGGGAGATTTTAATGTTGCTTATTATTAATTTATTAAATATTTACTTTGTAAAAGAGATTCAAGTATACTTATTCCCGCTTAATATTCTTTTTATATTGCAATCACATTTTTGGCGATATAATGACTAATTATTGATGTTAATAGTTTTTTTTATTTTTAGGACTGTCGATTAAACTCGCACTAATGGATTGACAAAGAAGATATGATCCTTATAAATAAGAAATGTATTGCGAATGATTATTTTGAACACATATACGTAATTGTATAGCATTTTGTTACGAGTTTCAGTAAATACAGTTATATATGAGACTAATCTTATTAATATAATCCCGTATTATCTTATTATATTAAGAAAACAGATGCATATATAAAATATATGCAGATGCTGTATAAGAGCAAGATCATAATGTAAAGTATATAGATCCATAACTCTTGGATTCTCAAATTTGAACTTGAGTGTTAAATCTTCGTGTTTTAGTGTGAAAATAAATAAAGATTATTTATTTTGTATTTTTGGATGTTAATTATAAGACGTAATATCAATCAGAATACATTTATAATACGAACATATGTCGTGTCTTTATTTAATATTAATAAAGTCCTTAAAATTTGAGAAAAAAAACATTTTTTCAAGTACTAAATATTTTATCATAGACTGTGATAAACTAGTAATGTATAAAAAAAGTATAAAAAATGATATCCTAGTAAATGAGCTGTAGTGAACAGTAGACTGGCGAATTTAAACATATATGCAATAATATCTACAAAAATTTTAATTTTACATATTCTATTTTGTAATAATAGTGTTTGAAACACAATTTTGGAAGAGCATATTTTTTACATTTGAAAAAATAGTTGTATAATAACATTAATTACAAACTATCCTCTAACGGCTAATGTATTTCGCATTTATTTTTTATTTTATTTGTTTGTTTTTATGTTAGTTTTAGTTTATGTTTTTACAACATTTTTGTTGGTGAAGAGAATAAATTTAAAATGTCTTTACTCTGTCATCTATGCTATCTTTTGTTATTTTTACTGACAGGTACAATAATATCAGTTCTTATTGTTAGTGTAATATGCGGACATTATCATATGACGGGTGCAAACACTGTAATCTGTTCAAACATGTCGCACACGTGACATACCATCATCATTATGTGATAATGTGTTACATTTATATAAAGAAACTAGAAATAAGATGTAAAAATTCAAAACGTTTAAGGATAACGACAATGAATTATTGAGCAATTAAAATATAAGCTGGAATATTCCGCGTTAAAGCCAGCATAAAATAGGGAAATATATAATTAATCCATAAAATCTCGAATTAAATGTAAGTAATATTGTTGGAATTTAACTGCTAGTGAAATTCTTACTGCAATACATAAAATAGATCACTTTCTCAACTTTAGCAATTATTTTTATAAATTTAAATATTAATAAATTCTATTGTGTTATATTTGATGTTACATAAATATTTTGTAAATGTTTACTATAACAAATTGGAATTCTGTAACTATTATTTATTTATTATTTAGTACATATGTAGTAAATAATATATTATATCTTATTCCCGATTAATAGTAATCGATTAATTTTGACAGAAATCAGCTGATTACTATTAAAAATATTAATCCAGTTTAAGGTATTATGACATATTATTTTTACTTTTATATAATGTATTATTAATATAAAAATTTAGTAGATGTGAAAACTTTTTTATATATTTGGCATATATGTTTTCTTAAAATAGTTTTTAGAGATTCAAATGTTTAATGGCTTTATCGACGCAAAAACTTTTTTTTTCAATTGTTTGAAATTAATAATTGACTTGTTATTTAAACTTTGATAATAAAAGAAAGAAAAATTTGCGTGCGTATATACACATACATGAAAAAAAACTCGATTAAATAATACACACATCCACCTACACAACGCTAAAAAAGAGAGAGGAAAATACCAAAATTTTTGACGCACGTCATTTTTTAAATGCAACTTGTTAAATGTGACTGCCTCGAATGAAAGAGAAGTAAATAAATGACGAATGATAAAATTGTGAGCTATTCGAAGGTTCGTGTATCTACAATAACGGATACCATGGCGTTGCGCCACAAACGCCAACGCGAGATAAGGTTTACATCGAGCTAGCTTTGTATCTCGAGTATGATTTTGCCATTGCGTATTACGCACGCGATGCCAAAATCATGCTGTGAAACATCATGCGAATCTGCAACAAGACGCGGTCTCCGAAAATGATGCAAGTGTCATTCACGCAACGTGTGTCCTTTGTAACGCGATTTGTGCCTCCATAAAGGCGTAAATTCTACATCCTGGCGGAATCCTTCGCGGTGGCGATGTTTTCAAAATTTTGATAAAATCCGGAAAATCGTCGACAATATATCATATATGATACTATATAAAACGAGACGCGTGAAAAGAGAAAAAATAAAACTGTCATATATTTCTATTAAATCTCGGTTTTCCGTTCCATCAAAAATAATTGATATAGCGCGATAGTTTGACATAGTTCGATATGGTTCAGATTGTACCAAGAATCGTATATTTGTTTATTTTTTATATATGACGATAAAATAACAATGCATTACTGTCGCATATGCATAAATTTTGGTAAATCTAATTTTTTTGTACGTCAATCATTTCTCTGACTCTTACATTCGACGAATTTTTTTCTGAAGATTGAAAAGAAACTTAACAATAGGCTAATTATACATGCGATGAAATCTATGGATTATAAATGTTGAATAGAAACAAAAATATGAAAAATATTTTAGTAATTTTATTTGTATAAATGTGATTAACTTATAACACTGTCATAACTTTCATTCTGTCATATTTTTCAATTTTTATATTTTTATTTTAAACTTTTATAATAAAAGAGATAGAAAGTAAAAATAATTTAATGTAGTTTTTTGATGCTTAATATAATTTTGAATGCAAAGATGTTATAGTTTAAAAAATTTTAATTTTAAACTAGAATTATAAAAAAAGCTATTTTTTTTACCACGCAATATCAAAGTTCTATTTTATTTACAAAAATATTACACATGAAAAAAATTATTAAATTAATAAATATTTATTCCAATACTGGCTTATAAATCATTTATTTGAAACAAATGAATATTTATCTGTTTCGAAAAGGATTTTCTTATATCAAATAAATATTTTTTACATTAAATCAATATTATTAGTTTTAAATGAATGATTTATAAGGCAGTATTGAAATAAATATTTATTCGAATTCAATCAACTTTTTCAGTGTAGTAAAACATTTTATCAATCTTCAGAAGAAAAATTTGCTCCGAAGATTAGTCTCTGGATAAGAAAAATACACCTATAACGCCAGATATCCAAATACCTTTTTGCGTAAAAAAACCCCTACGACAGATAGACAAAGCTCGGTCTGTTGGAAGAACCTTTCATCAACGAATGTAAACGTGTTAGCCACGTATCGGGCGACATTTACAAATACGCATAGACATGTAGCACAAGGTGGAAGAGACCGAGAGAGACTGTTCCGTCCATTGTCCCAGGATGTTTTATCGCTCGTTCAGTGATTAGGCGGCAAAGGTGGGAAAAGTTTGCAGAATGCGCGATTCTCGGCCCCGGTATCTTGATTTCTCGCCCTCGATTCATCGTTATCAGTCTCGTCCCTTTCGACGAATCGATCCTCTCGAGACGCGAAGGAGAACGGAACATTTCGCTTTTTCTTTCTCTCTCTAGGAGTTTCGCGGTTTCTAACAACCCTCTCGACCAACAAGCAATTTCGGTGAACGGGCGAAACTCGTCCCGCATGACCTTTTGTCAACATGCGAAATTTCGTGACATCGACACGCGAATCAATCAATACGAAACAATAGATTTGCGGTCGACGCAGAGAAATGGCGAAAAATTCGCCGATACGTCGAGGCAATAAAATTTCCTAATCATATCATGATAGATATATGCAAGTACATGTGTATATTTTTGCTTAGAATTTATCCTGAAAATTTATGATAATCGTGGGACAATATGTTATTAGAAGAATTTTATAAGTTTATCCGATTAATAGTTTTACCACAAATAAAAAATATTAATATCTATTGCAATAAGGTATAAAATATGTTCGATTAATTTTACTATGTACATATTAATATTTTTTATTGTGATAAATATTACTTATTTTGATTAAAAAAAATTATAAATAAATATTAAAAACTTGATAAAATTCTTTCAATACTATACTGTCCCACAATTATCGTGATTTTCAGGGTAAGTTTTAAGAAAAAATTCTCTCTGTGCATATATGTGTGTTTTAAGTAAATTAATCAACAATTTCATTTTATCAGGAACAATATTTAATTAAATTCAAACATTATTATGAATGTTGCGTTTGATTAATAATAAAACATCAGTATCAATCAAATCATATCATAACTTTGTAATATCAATTTAATCGACATTATTTATTCATTACTTTCCACAAATATGGAATCAGTTTTTGACAAGTAAAATATATAAAAAAAAACTCATTTTTTTTAGAATATTAGATTTTCGCGTACAATAGCAATAATAACAAAAATTTCTCTTCTCCTCTTAATATATATATATTTTTTTTTCTTATTTTTAAAGTAATTAACTATATTATTTAACACAGGGAACATAATAAGTACACAGAGAGAATTTTCTCTTAGAATTTAAACTGAAAATCATAGTAATATGGTATTGGAAGAATTTGCTAAAAGTTTCTCTAATTAATATTTACCACAATAAAAATATTAATATCCACCACAATAAGATATAAATATGTTCGATTAATTTTAATAAAATATATAGTAAAATTTAAATAATTTTAAAACAATAAAAACCATGTTAAAAACTTATGACTCTTTGAGTGTTTCAAATAGAATAAATGCCAAAAATGATAATCATATATAAAAATATTTTATATAAATTTTACAATGCACATAATTTTCATATTATTGACACGATAAAAAAATTTGTAGTAAATTTTACTATACATTTTATTTATTTTTAATTTTTAATTACTATTTCATATTACTTTGCATCTCTGCTTCTCCTTTAAACTTGTATATTTTCAACAAAATAGTATTTTAGAAGCGAAACGCAATAAAGATGTTTAATAAAATAAAGCGTCGAAAAAAGAGATGATTTGAATATTTAAATAAATATCTCAGATTTATACTTGTAATTCGAGATGAAAAAAGCGACGATAACTGGCCACTTGGTCTTTCCGAGTACTTTCGATATCATATACACGATCAATTAATGTTCCCATTATTGTGACAGAAA